CTATTTTTATTTATTTTTTTTGCAGTTTTTGAAGCACATTTACCCACTGACTAAGTACACGGTGCTTATTTGAGGAGTGGGGCCTAAAACTGAGAGGGAAGTGGATTGCCCGTGTTGTACTTGTGATGTTTTATGTAGTTGGTTTTGTGCTGTTTGGTTTTATTTGCCTTTCACAGATCTGTGACTACTGCAGCTTTAATGCAGCTTTAACTACGCAGATGCCCTGTAATCATCTCTTCAGATGAAACGGCAGCCCACAGGGGACAAAAACACAGCATCATGACACTTATTTGCCTTATAAAAGCTATCCAAATAAACAATGTTGTCAGTGTGAACCGGGCTTTCAGCAAACCCCAGAGAAACAGTCTTGTTAGCAGTAAGCAACCCTAAGGTCGGCGCGCTGCCCTCGGCTTTAATCCTTTCTTTCTTGTTCTCTGTCTCCTCTCAGATGACCCAAGAACAGTGCACTCATAGGAACAATGTCCAGAGTTCAGAGAAACCACAAGTGTACAAAGTGGGAATATACGGCTGGAGGAAACGCTGCCTTTACTTCTTCGTCCTGCTGCTGATGATCCTGATCCTGATCAACTTGGCACTAACTATCTGGATCCTCAAAGTCATGAACTTCACCATAGTAAGTTGCTGCTGGCGTTTCCTCACATCCATCTTCACCATCTTAACCCTACACCACCACCTTCTACATAACCTGACGTGAACCTCCTGAGAAATAAAAGCACACGTCGGGTCAGCGCGTACCGCAGCGACCTGAATGGCGTGGAAGGTTGCGGTGTAGCGATAAAAGGAGTTTTGTAAGTTATGATGTAAAGCTCAAATCAACCTTTATGTTACATGAAAGCTAATGATGGCTCAATCAGAATCATTAGATACTGAGCCTTTGAGTTCATCTCTGTAACCGCGCGACATTTAAACCTGTGCTTCACTCCGATGCCGTGCTTTTATTTATTATTTATTTATAACACATAAAGGCTCGCTTGTTCATAAGCTTCAGATGTGATAGCTTTTTAAATGTCCATGCAGTTGATTGCACTCTTTGTTGGTGAAACGCTCAGATCGACTGCCTCTGCAGGTGGTTTGAGTGATGAGAGAAACGTCGGGCGTCTCGGACTTGTTTTGAAATTACAGCTAATTTCAGAAACTGTCTTTATACGACTCCATTTTCAGCTGTGGTCCTTTTTTCTTCTGCTCCTCCTTTGCAACTTGTCTCCATCTTGTAAAAAAAAAACAATCACAAAACAATTTGTTCTCACCACACAGACTGCGTTTTGTCTAACTGAACCTGATCTAAAGGATAATGCCTGAACTGTAAAGCTGTCGCCCTCCTCCTCCTCCTCCTCCTCCTCCTCCTCCCGGAGCGCCTCCATGCTACCACTACATCAAACAAAACAAACGCTTGGAGCTCCGCTTTTTCACATATGAATAACTTTACCACAGAATCGCACAGCAGACTAATTTGCATCAAGATTGCTCTATTTTCTGTGCTAAGCAGGCACTGCCGGATTGTTTTCATACAGCACTTTCCACAGATCCCATTTGCTAAGCAATATTTTTATATATTTAACGCAGATGAGCTTTCACTCTGTTGCAGACATTTAGTGTCATTGTCTGCTACATATCCAAGTCTTTAACAACAGATCTGAACTGCTAATGTTATCTGAACCACAGGCCTGTTCGTATCCCAGCCTGGCAAAAACTACCAGTTCATTTAGATTCAATTCA